TACTGTGCTTAAATCCAAAATCTCTAAGTAGCGAAGAGATCACCCGAAAAATTACCAATTATATATAGAAAAGACATAGAAAAGCAACCTTACGGCGGTGTGAAAGTGATTGAAGACGAGCTGCCAGATCAGGACCAATAATATTGCTGATTCTTCTTTGGATTTTATCAAGGAGCTCAAGGTAAAAAAAAACAGGCGTACCGGACCATATGTGGCAGCACTATTCTATGCATGGACGAATGGTAGACTTAAAGCTGGAGATAAAAATTGTCTCGCAAGACACAGTGAACCAACTTTCTTAGCAGCTGACCTGGCAATGGATTCAATATAGTTTTTCCACGTGAAGAATTTTGCATTTGTTTTTATGTTTATTTTAAAAGAAAAAAAAAACATTTTGACCACGAACAACTGATAGAAATTTGGGGAGAAACCACTAAACTTTGAAACTGCAGAAAAAAAAAAAAAACAAAAAACAAAAAATCAACGGACACACATACACATGTCGTTCACGTGACATTACAACTCTTTAAAACATGAAATTCAAATTCAGCTCAAAGATGCTGACGATTATGAAGGAATTTTGAATTTCTTTTAATTATTCTTGATAATGATTGAAGCTAGTTTAATGTCCGGAATTTTTGGCTCCTTTAAATTATTCTTTCCCTTGTTTTCATCCCTCGGTTAGGCTAGGGTGTCTCAATTTGTTTGAGGCAGCTTTGTCCGAGAAGGGTTTTTTTTTTATGAGATCATGCACTGACGGGACAAAGGACATTAACGTCACTGGCGTCTCCGGTGGAGAATGCTGATTGCAGACATTTTGGTTAATAATTGATGTTGGATATTTCGATATAGTTAAATAACCTTATTCTTTTGCTTCGTTTTTTTCATTTCCACTCGCTCTTTTAAATCGTTTTGCCCCCCAAGGAAGGTGATAACCTCATTGAGACGCAATGGGTGTTACTCAGTATGAAAAAAAAAAAAAAAAGAAGAAACCATTAGCGAGGAGAAAGAACGATAAAAGAACAGGTATCAGGAAGACAGAAGATGGCGATTGATATCGCATTTAAACTTTTGAAGATCGTAGGTGACAGCGATGCAAGAAGCCGGAAGAGATTTTCACAGGCGAGAAGTGCGAGAGAAAAAACTATTAGAATAGAACTTCCGGTTACATCTACCTATTTAAACGGTAAAACTGTTAGACCTAGTTCCCAATTAATTACCATGATTATCTTCACGCAGTCGAAGTACCAATTGTCATGAAAATATTTATAGAAAAGTCAGAGGAACGCTATGTTACAGCGGTGGGGAGAGATTGAAGCCGAGATGCCAGGTCAGGACCAATAACACTGCAGATCCCTGTTTTTATTTTATCAAGGGTCTCTAAATACATCGTAAAAAATGGATAGGATGTCTAAAAAAAAAAAACACAAATACAATTTTTATAATAAAGGGTGTTCCAATAACATGGACCGATTTTAATGTCTAATGATTTTTTTCTTTTTCTTTCAGATTTGGCGGACATTTGGGCGATATTATTTTTCACACATAATTGCCATGACTTAAATAACATGATCCAATAGAGAAATAAATAAATTTTCACAAATAACACTGATTTATTTACTGCTGACTTTGATCCGTCTTAATGAAACACCCTTATATATAATCCGACTTAATGAAACGACCTTTACATAGCTCTATTTTGTAAAGGAAGGAATAGATTTTTTTATTCATTTATTCCGACAGATTTTTATTCTTAAACATTATTTTTAGTGGATACTCATATTTAAGTAGACGCCCCGTTTATTTATTAAAAAGTATATTTATTTTCGTCTATCCAGTGGGGGGGGGTCGTTCCCCCTCACTGGGAACCGTTCCAGATACGAAAGTGAACACGAATATGAGTGTCCACCAAAATAGCGTTTAAGTAATAAAAAATATGTCGGATTAATAAATCAATAAATAGATGAATTTTCACCAATAACACTGATTTATTCACTGCTGACTTTGATCCGTCTAAATGAAACACCCTTGTATAAAATCTGTCTTAATGAAACACCCTTTATAAATAAAATCAAGCATTTCATTTGTTAGACTGTTCTTTGGAAAGTTCCAAACTTTTTTTTTTATCTTAAAGTATCTTAGAACATAATTTTTTTTTCACCTTGACCTGTGAATCAGCAATAAGCTGGAAAAATATATAAATAAACGAAGCCAGTATTCGGTTCGAGCTAGTCAACATACTTTTCTTGAATGAGAGAATTTGCATTTGAAATTCTAGGATGACAATCTTTCACAAGTTGACTACTCCAGAAACAAAATATTCCAATTCTTATGCATTTTGGCGTGCTGAATTCGAAAATGAACTTAAAATTAGATGATTGGCTCTCGATTCAGAGATATCTAGTCAGCTATGTCAAATACCTCAGTACAAAGGATATCTCCAAGAAAAAATGATATAATGGAATATGCGTACATCTGTGTTCCCCCTCACTGGAATATGATTGGCTGGTGTCCGTCATAAATACCGACGGACTTGTAGGTACGACAGAGTCAAGAGCCTTAGTCTGAGAGCTAAGTCTATAACGACGTCCATTGGACTACGCCATTGATCTACCTGCGACTACGACGCGTGCCAGTCGATTACTGCTACCGTATTCTACTTGGTTATAGTAGCCCAAACCACTTAGCTACTTCGTTCAAATATATCCCTTTACAAGAAATATCGAAAACAATGTTGCGTTGCTGTAGTGAAAGAGATAATCAGGTACCCCGAAAAAATGTTCGTGTTTTGTGTGCGATCTGCCGAAGAAAAATTACCAAAAAGTAGTCAGCAAAAATCTACATCAATGACTAGAAGCTATGCTAATGTTCTTCCCTCCTCTGAATGGCATGACCAATCAGAAAATTCTCTCGGTGAACAGAAGTCGTTGTTTTTCGCTTATAAAAGGAGATGAATTTTTGAGCTGGGAAACGAACACGCGTTGTTGTTGGCGAGAAGTGAAGGTGGGATTTGTGACCCCATTTTGTCGTTTCTACGGTGTGTGTTGGACTGCTACGTCGGACTATCGTGTGAACTGCGATTTGGCTACAAGTGTTGCGGCCGAGAAACAAGAAATCTATTGCAGTTGCTACTATCAGTTGACAGTCTTTTCTTTACTACAACAAGCTATATCTTTTCTTTACTACAACAGTTGCAAAACCTGCTTTGATGTTGTTATGGTCCAGGTTAGGACCAAGGAAGAACAACACGAACACAAGAGTAGAAATAACAAAGGTATATTACACGAAATAATACGAGATGTGGAAGGTGTTAGTATGACTGTCAATCTGGTTTGGAGTGAACTACTATTGGCTCGACTCGATTCGACCCTCTCTCTTGAGAGGCGTAGTATATATAGTGTTAGGAAGAGTTCATTCTGTAGTTATAGGTAAGGACCCATGACAACTATGAATTTCTATAAAATTAAATTAAAGAAATTATGAAACGGTGTAGTAGGTTTTTCGTCCAAGTATTTTTCCTGTTTTGGAGTGAACTACTATCGGCTCGACTCGATTCGGTATCTAGCCCCCCCCCCACGAGGGTTGCATATGGCACAAGGCCGAGTTTAATGTGGGTTTCCCGAGCCCATAGGCTCGGCCAAAAAATGCCCGTAGAACCCGTATAAACGGGATCGGGTTGGTTCCCTGAACGAGACTCTGCCCTTCGGTGGAGCCTCTCATCCGTTCCTCTTTGCTCAGAAGCAGAGAGTTCGACCGTCAAGCCGATCAGGTCGGCTTAATTCGACCCTCTCTCTTGAGAGGCGTAGTATACATGGTGTTAGGAAGAGTTCATTCTGTAGTTATAGGTAAGGACCTATGACAGATATTCTACTCTGTTCTCTGTAGACTACCAGAACTATAAGGAAACACACCAAGATGGTAATATATGTGCATATTGAATAAAATACAAACGAAAAACCTGTCTATATTACTGAAATGAGGTATTATGTACACTATTTGCAGTGTTCGAACTATCATCCTCATCTTTGTTGCCATATTTATCACAACGTCTCGGCCGTTGTACGCTCCGGCTTTCTTCAGGTGTTTGGAATGTCGAACTGAACCCTTTATTTCGCTGACTGGGGTAGACTGGTCTAGTTCCACGTGCCATGTTTGATGGATGTCATCTGTTATCTCATGTTAATTCACCTCTCCAAGTTCTCCACCGCCTTAACCAGGTATTGAACTCACACTCTTTGGGTCCTGTCACTGGATCTGACCAACGCCTTTATCCACTGTGCTATGTGTCCTTGAAACGTTGTGATAAATATCGCAACAACGATGAGGATGATAGTTCGAACAATGTAAATAGTGAACCGAAAAACCGTCTTCAAAAGTATATACACGTGTAGTTATTTAGCAAAAACGCCTCGCTTCTGAAATATATATTTTTTGTAAACTACAGAAGGATCATCTCTGGTTACGGTCCAACTAGGATTAGCTAGCATTAATAGATTCCACCTACCCTGGTAGCTTTTCTCCATTGTTGCAACGTCTTGATAAAATCGTTCACAGTTCCAGTCACTTACGGCAACATTGTTTTATGGAAAAAAATATAGCTTCATGTTTATAAAATAGATCATCAACAGCATGTTACAGTCAGCATGTTTACATTCTTTCGATGGCGGTTGTGGTCGGGGTCTCCCAAAGGTTTTCTGTCATTTTTTTTGCCCTTTCATTAGCCAGGAAGTTCGTTGTCACTGGCTTGAAAGCTTTCAATGCAGTTTTTTTCTTTCTTTCCCCCATCGTAAGGTGTCAGAATTTTCATCAAAAAGAAGTTTACGAATCTGGGTGCCAACAAAATGCCTTCCTTTATCTTTGCTTCACTTATCTTGGGAAATTTATTCTGAACATACTTGAATGTTTCCTTTGTCTTGATGTGAAGAGGTGGCAACAAAATTTTCTTTGATTCAAGATATCTGTCCGAATGCAACTAATGTAAATAATAGAATAGCATAAGCTTAAAGAAAGAAAGAAAGAAAGAAAGAAAGAAAGAAAGAAAGAAAGAAAGAACTCGTCAAAGAAAGAACAAAAGACTCAGGGAATAAAGAAAGAAAGAACGACTCAGCGGAATAAGAAAAAAAAAGAAAGAAAGAAAGAAAGAAAGAAAGAAAGAAAGAAAGAACAACTTGGCGAAAAAAAAAAACAAAAGAATCGGCGAAGAAATAAATAAATAAAGAAATAAAGAAATAAAGAAAGAAAGAAAGAAATTAAGAACAGCTCACGGAAAAAGTAAATATGAAACGATGGAAAAAGAAAGAGAAAACAAACAAATAAAAAACAAACAGAGAAAACAAAAAGAATGGCTCAGGAGAAAGAATAGGAGAAAAAAAGAACGAGGCGAAGAAAGAAAGAAAGAAAGAAAGAAAGAAAGAAAGAAAGAAAAAAGAAAGAACGAACGACTCGGCAGGAAAGAAAAAAAGTGTGGAAAAAAGAAAGAAAGAAAGACTAGCTCGGCGGAGAAAGAAAACGAATAAAAATAAAGAAAGAAAAAAGAAAGAAAAAAAAAAAAAAAAAAGAAAGAAAAAAAAAAAAGAAAGAAAGAACGAACGACTCAGCGGGAAAGAACAGCTCGGTGGAAAAAAAAAGAAAGAAAAATAGCTCGGCGGAGAAAGAAAGAACGAATCGGATAAAGAAAGAAAGAAAGAAAGAAAGAAAAAAAGAAAGAAAGAAAAAAGAACGAACGACTCGGCGGGAAAAGAAAATACAAAAAAAAGAAAGAAAGAAAAGACTAGCTCGGCGAGAAAGAAAGAACGAATGATAAAAAAAGAAAAAAAAAGAAACAAAGAAAGAAAAAGGAAAGAAAGAAAGAAAGAAAGAACGACTCAAAGGAAAAAGAAAATACGAAAGAAAGAAAGAAAGAAAAGAAAGAATTGCTCGGCGGAGAAAAAAGAACGAATCGGATAAAGAAAGAATGAAAAAGAACGACTAAGCGGAAAAGAAAATACGACTCGGGGGGAAAAGAAAGAAAGAAAGAAAAAGAAAGAAAAGAACGACTCGGTGGAAAAGGAAAATGCGGATGGAAAAAGAAAGAAAGAAAGAAAAGAAAGAAAGAAAGAATAAACTCGCCAAAGAAAAAGAAATAAAAAGACTCAAGTAAGAAATAAATAAATAAATAAATAAATAAATAAAGAAAGAAAGAAAGAAAGAAAGAAGAACAGCTCAGCGGAAAAAGTAAATATGACTCGATGGAAAAAGAAAGAGAGAAACAAACAAATAAAAAAGAAACAGAGAAACAAAGAATGGCTCGGCGGAGAAAGAAAGAACAAGTCGGAGGAAGAAGAAAGAACGAGGCGAAGAAAGAAAGAAAGAAAGAAAGAAAGAAAGAAAGAAAGAAAGAAAGAACGAACGACTCGGCGGGAAAAGAAAATACGACTCGGTGGAAAAAAGAAAGAAAGAAAGACTAGCTCGGCGGAGAAAGAAAGAACGAATCGGATAAAGAAAGAAAGAAAAAAAGAAAAAGAAAGAAAAAAAAAGAAAAGAAAGAAAGAAAGAAAAAGAAAGAAAGAAAAAGAACGACTCGGCGGGAAAAGAAAATACGACTCGGTGGAAAAAAGAAAGAAAGAAAGAATAGCTCGGCGGAGAAAGAAAGAACGAATCGGATAAAGAAAGAAAGAAAGAAAGAAAAAGAAAGAAAAGAAAAAGAAAGAACGACTCGGCAGGAAAAGAAAATACGACTCGGTGGAAAAAAAAAAAAGAAAGAAAAGACTAGCTCGGCGGAGAAAGAAAAGAACGAATCGGATAAAGAAAGAAAGAGAAAGAAAGAAAGAAAGAAAGAAAGAAACGACTCAGCGGAAAAAGAAAATACGACTCCCGGGGGGGGAAAGAAAGAAAGAAAGAAAGAATTGCTCGGCGGAGAAAGAAAGAACGAATCGGATAAAGAAAGAATGAAAGAACGACTAAGCGGAGAAAGAAAATACGACTCGGGGGGAAAAAGAAAGAAAGAAAGAGAGGAAAGAAAGAAAGAACGACTCGGTGGAAAAGGAAAATGCGACTCGATGGAAAAAGAAAGAAAGAAAGAAAGAAAGAAAGAAAGAATAAACTCGCCAAAGAAAGAATAGCTCGGTGGAGAAAGAAAGAACGAATGGGATAAAGAAAGAAAGAAAGAGAGGAAAGAATCATCCAGACGATATCCTTCTTGTCTCACGTTTTCGACTGACATGAAGTGAAGTGATTACATTGAATCGATGCTAGGTTTGCTGCCAGGAAAGTTGGTTGTCACTATTGTGCAAGACATTCTTTCTTGCCACAATCCATCCTTCACGTTTTACAGTTCTACCATTTGTCCGTGCGTTGAATATTTCTGCGACATCTGGTTTGGGACTTCTACTATATAACTCGAGACTCTTGACAAAATCCAAAGAAGCGTCTGTAATGTTATCGGTCTTGACCTAGCATCTCGGCTTCAGTCACATTTCCAACCGCTATAACGCTGCGTCTCTCTGACTTTTCTATAAATATTCTAATGGCAATTGGTACCTCAACCGCGTGATTTCAGCATCCTACTAGATTGGCTGTTAGGTCTCATCGTTTTACTGTGTAAATAGCTAGATGTAACTGTAAGTTCTATTCTAATAATTTCTTTTCTTGCCTGTGCAACTCTCTTCCGGCTTCTTGCGTCCCTGTTACCCACGATCTTCAAAAGTTTAAATGTCACGTCTATTGCCGCCTTACGTCTTCCTGAAACTAATTTGCAATGTTGTTGGTCCTGACTTGGCATCTCGGCTTCAGTCACTTTCCGACTATTTCCTTTGTCTTTCTCTATAAATATTTCCATGGTAATTGTTCTGGTGAATTTTCTTCTATATGAATTTAAGCGTAACACTAGATTGTCTCATCATTTTACAGTTGAAATGGCTAGATGTAGTTCTATGCTATCAGTTTCTTTTTATCGGACTTCTCATTTGTGGAGCTTTCTTCCCGTTTCTTGCTTTCCAGTAAATTTTGAAATTCAAAATATTAACTTCAATGTCAGTCGTTATTTACTGCCTTCTTAATTCCTGTTCTTTTATTGTTCCCTCTTCTTTATAACGTTTTTGTTTTCACACCCAGTAACCCTTTGCGTCTTAGTGGCTTTATTGTCTTGCTAGAACGATTTAAAAAATCTATCTTTATTTGGACTTACTTTCTGCTTTTCTTCTTTACCGTAACCATTCTTTTGTTTTGATTTTCTTTCTTTGGTCTTGTCTATTTTTCCTCTTTAACTTATTCATTCTTTCTTTCTTCCCCACCTCCCTTCCTTTGGTCTTACTCCTTGTCTTTTCTCTTTTTTTGTTTGTTTCTTTGTTTCTCTTAACCTTCCTTCTATCCTTTCTTCCTTTTTTTTCTTGCTTCCTTCGGGTTTACTCACTTCTTTCTTTCTTTCTTTCTCTCAACGGCATTACTCTTTTTCTTTGGTCTGACTTCTGCCTTTTTCCTTTACCTTTTCCTTCCTTCGTCACTAACTTCATTTGTTTGTTTGTTTCTTTCTTTCTTTCTACACCGAGTTATATTTTCTTTTCTCGCCAAGACGTTCTTTCTTTCTTTCTTTCTTTCTTTCTTTCTTTCTTTCTCCGCCTAGTTGTTCTTTCTTTCTTTCTTTCTTTCTTTCTTTCTTTCTTTCTTTCTTTCTTTCTTTCTTTCTTTCTTTCTCCGCCTAGTTGTTCTTTCTTTCTTTCTTTCTTTCTTTCTTTCTTTCTTTCTTTCTTCACCGGCTCGTTCTTTCTTTTTTTCTTTCTTTCTTTCTTTCTTTCTTTCTTTCTTTCTTTCTTTCTTTCTTTCTTTCTTTCTTTCTTTTTTCGCCGGCTCGTTCTTTCTTTCTCCGTCTAGTTGTTCTTTCTTTCTTTCTTTCTTTCTTTCTTTCTTTCTTTCTTTCTTTCTTTCTTCACCGGCTCGTTCTTTCTTTCTCCGTCTAGTTGTTCTTTCTTTCTTTCTTTCTTTCTTTCTTTCTTTCTTTCTTTCTCCGCCTAGTTGTTCTTTCTTTCTTTCTTTCTTTCTTTCTTTCTTTCTTTTTCTTTCTTTCTTCACCGGCTCGTTCTTTCTTTCTCCGTCTAGTTGTTTTCTTTCTTTCTTTCTTTCTTTCTTTCTTTCTTTCTTTCTCCGCCTAGTTGTTTCTTTTCTTTCTTTCTTTCTTTCTTTTCTTTCTTTCTTTCTTTTTTTTTCTTTCTTTCTTCACCGGCTCGTTCTTTTCTTTCTTTCTTTCTTTCTTTCTTTCTTTCTTTCTTTTTCTTCACCGGCTCGTTCTTTCTTTCTCTGTCTAGTTGTTCTTTCTTTCTTTCTTTCTTTCTTTCTTTCTTTCTTTCTTTCTTTCTTTCTTTCTTTCTTTCTTTCTTCGCCGGTTCGTTCGTTTTTTCTCCAGCTAGTTGTTCTTTCTTTCTTTCTTTCTTTCTTTCTTTCTTTCTTTTTCTTTTTTTTCGCCGGTTCGTTCGTTTTTTTCTCCGGCTAGTTGTTTCTTTCTTTCTTTCTTTCTTTCTTTCTTTCTTTCTTTCTTTCTTTCTTTCTTTCTTTCTTTCTTTCTTCACCGGCTCGTTCTTTCTTTCTTTCTTTCTTTCTTTCTTTCTTTCTTTCTTTCTTTCTTTCTTCACCGGCTCGTTCTTTCTTTCTTTCTTTCTTTCTTTCTTTCTTTCTTTCTTTCTTCACCGGCTCGTTCTTTCTTTCTCTGTCTAGTTGTTCTTTCTTTCTTTCTTTCTTTCTTTCTTTCTTTCTTTCTTCGCCGGTTCGTTCGTTTTTTCTCCGGCTAGTTGTTCTTTCTTTCTTTCTTTCTTTCTTTCTTTCTTTCTTTCTTTCTTTCTTTCTTTCTTTCTTCGCCAGTTCGTTCGTTTTTTCTCCGGCTAGTTGTTCTTTCTTTCTTTCTTTCTTTCTTTCTTTCTTTCTTTCTTTCTTTCTTTCATCATGTCTTTCTTCTTTATCTCAACTCTCTCTCCTTTCTTCATACTACTTACTTTACATCTTTCCTCTTTACCATATTCCCGCCTTTCTTTCTTGCACAGGCCTTACTTCCCACTTTCCTATTCTACCTTCATCTTTCCTTTCCTCTTTTGCTATTGATCTTTGGTTAAGGTTTTAATCAAGATGGTCGGCCTGAAACATTAACCAAACCTTTCTTCCAATCTTGTTAACAGCACCTCCTAACATTACGCATAACTAATCCTTCTTCCGGTCTGTATAAATCAAACCATTGTTGCATCCACTACTTTTGATTATCTCGCATTATTGTCCCTATTTTGATTCCAGTGTCTCTCATTCATCTCTTCAAAAACCATTTCAATCCTTCAATCAGTTGTTCCAATCGCCGTTCGTTAGAACATGATTTCTGTTCGCTTTGCTTTTGTAATTAGTCCTGATTTTCTCTCCCAGGCTTTTCTTTCGCTTATCGATCTACGCTTCAGGTTCTATTATTGCCGTTTTGTTAGCGTTTTGGAGATGTTATGTTTATTTGGCATTGCAAAAGCGATGTGGATACAAGATAAGGCGAAACAAAGGAAGGAAAAAAAATATCAAAAGGAGAAAAAGAAAAACGAGTAACCTTCAAAGATATAATTTAAAAAGAAGGAAGAACGACTTGAACACTAGAACGCAGAAAAAATGGCTGAAGAATGAAGAAAGGATACTGAGCTGCAGATAGAGATTACGAAACGAGAGGGAAGTACCCACTCCCGCAAATAGCGAATCCATAAGAAAAGAATCAGAAGAATTAACATAAAAACAACAAAAGTTTTGTTAAAAGAAGTTACCGATAAAACGACGAAATATTAAAATGGAGGGCGTGAAAGAATGACTCGAGAAATGAGATAAAATTTATAAAGGAAACGCAAAGAACTGGGCAAAAATGAAAGGAAAAAAATATTAAAATAGAGAAAAAAGAACGGATGAGTTCTAAAAAGATTTTCCGTGAATTCTGAGATATACAAGCTAATCCATTGTTTAGATTAAACCATAAGTCTGAACAAGGACATCAATAATTCGTGTAATGTTTCGTGCATAGATTAACTTCAGGGAATTATACGAGTGTGGGTTGAAAAATTCATAGGCTGACTGTGAAGGAGTGATGCAAAAGCTGTTAAATACTATATGTATTATTTTCAACAATTCTTACTAATAACTGCATTATTTCTTTCCACGTACGAAGGTTGACTGAAAAGTTCATAGGCTAACTAAGGAGGAGTGACGCAAAAGCTGTTAAATACTATATGTATTATTTTCAACAATTCTTACTAATAACTGCATTATTTCTTTCCACGTACGAAGGTTGACTGAAAAGTTCATAGGCTAACTAAGGAGGAGTGACGCAAAAGCTGTTAAATACTATGTATTATTTTCAACAATTCTTACTAATAACTGCATTGTTTCTTTCCACGTACGAAGGTTGACTGAAAAGTTCATAGGCTAACTAAGGAGGAGTGACGCAAAAGCTGTTAAATACTATATGTATTATTTTCAACAATTCTTACTAATAACTGCATTATTTCTTTCCACGTACGAAGGTTGACTGAAAAGTTCATAGGCTAACTAAGGAGGAGTGACGCAAAAGCTGTTAAATACTATATGTATTATTTTCAACAATTCTTACTAATAACTGCATTATTTCTTTCCACGTACGAAGGTTGACTGAAAAGTTCATAGGCTAACTAAGGAGGAGTGACGCAAAAGCTGTTAAATACTATATGTATTATTTTCAACAATTCTTACTAATAACTGCATTATTTCTTTCCACGTACGAAGGTTGACTGAAAAGTTCATAGGCTAACTAAGGAGGAGTGACGCAAAAATCTGTTAAATACTATATGTATTATTTTCAACAATTCTTACTAATAACTGCATTATTTCTTTCCACGTACGAAGGTTGACTGAAAAGTTCATAGGCTAACTAAGGAGGAGATGACGCAAAAAAGCTGTTAAATACTATATGTATTATTTTCAACAATTCTTACTAATAACTGCATTATTTCTTTCCCAGCTACGAAGGTTGACTGAAAAGTTCATAGGCTAACTAAGGAGGACATGTTAAAGGTGAAATACTATATGTATTATTTTCAAAATTCTTACTAATAACTGCTTATTTCCTTCCAAATACTATTCATATATTATTTTCAACAATTCTTACTAATAACTGCATTATTTCTTTCCACGTACGAAGGTTGACT